CAACTCCCAGAATCCCCCAGCCAGCAGAGCTGGCTGGGGAATTCTGGGAGTTGAAGTCCACAGGACTTAAAGTCACCAAGGTTGAGAAACACTGTATTGAGGTCTAGACTCACCAGCCAGAGAGGCCTTTCCCTAGCTGGGTCCACTTTCCCAGTCCAGTTAGTAGAGTCTCGCCATGAAAAAGAAACCAGAGTGGTTATTATATACAGGCAGTCCTCAGACTTACAACCAGAGTTGAGTCTAATATTGTTTTTAGCTCAACAAAACAGCTTTTGTTGGGTCAAAAGTTTTACAAACTTTTCTCACTGCGGTTACGTGAATCAGTGCAGCTGTTAGCAACACGGTCGTTAAGTGAGTCCTGCTTCCCCCTTGATTTTGCTGGTCGGAAGGTCTCGCGTGACCCCGGGACACTGCGACCGTCATAAATATGAGTCAGTTGCCAAGCATCTGAATTTTAATCGTGTGACCGTCGGCTGCTGCAACGGTCGTTAAGTGTGAGAGCTCACTCTTTTCCCCCAGTGCCGTGCGAACCGTCATTAAACGAGGACTCCCTGTAAATTTGGGGATACGGGCTGAATTTTCAGCTCTTCCCTGTCCGTCATCCCTTGCCACCTCTTGAGGAAGTGAAAGATTAATTCCTTATCTCGTCCCTTCCCAGTTTGTGTATCTTCTTAATGAATGATCAAAACCGGATCGCCGGGTCCATGGATCGAATGCCAGGCTTAATGTTGGCTTAGTTATGGGGAATTATCAGCAGTGAACTGGGTTCTAGTAACCACGATAAAAATCCAATTGTGTTTAAACCACCAGTGTCCTTGGTGGGAACTCTGCAGAGCGGATCACACTTTTGGGACGGAGAATGGTGCTCTCCGCGTTGGTCACATTTTAAATCTTATTTATGTATTTCATTTCATTATTTATTATTATTATTTAGTTTAGTTTTTCATGAGTTCTGTGCTGCTTTCTGCACCTTTAATTTTCAGCACCTGCCCATAGGCAGGAGGAATAGGGAGGAGGAGATGGGTGCAGTCCTTGACGGTTCATTTAATGACGGTTTGAAGTTACCACGGCGTCCGAAATAGTGACTCGTGACCATTGCAACATCCCCGGGTTTACTAGATGCGTGGCAACTGACTTGTACTTATGACGGTTGCAATGTCCCGCCCCCCTGTGTGGGTGTGTGTCACGCGATCCCTTTTTGCGACCCCCCCCCCCCCGGACAATCAGAGTCAACAGGGAAGCTGGATTCACTTAACGTAATTGAACAACTGCAGTGATTCACTTAACAACTGAAAACTCGTAAAATGGGACGCTGAGCAAAATGTTTCCCTTAACAACCGGAATTGTGGCGAGAGAGTTGAGGACTCTCCGTATTAAACCAACCGAGTCCCGATATATATATCTGGTGATCCCGGGACCTTCGCTGTGGGGATCATATAAAACCCCTTCTGGAATCCGGTGTTGTTCCAGGGACAAGCCCCCCCCCACCCCCCTTTGACCTACGTCGATGGTGCAACTGAGTTTGTGATCCCGAAAATAGCACAACGTGGAACGACAGCAATCCACCGTCCTCATCGTTTCGGAAAGATTGGCAACATTTGCGGTCACAATTTGGAATTCACGGGCATCGGAATGTCATTTCCCTGCGGTTCTTTGGGCAGTGTGTGTGTGTTTGTGTGTGTGTGTGTGTTTGTGCCCCTTGTCCAGACAGGGTGGTGGAAAATACCCATTGGCTTCTATGGAAAGAGATCCAGGGCAGAAATCTGAAAGGATCAGAGAGGTTATAAATAGATTCGGTAGGCTGGAAATGCAAAGAGCGTGGATAACACGGGGCAGTCTTCGACTTACGACGGTTCACTTAGTGCAGTGTTTCTCAACCTTGGCCACTTGAAGATGTCCGGACGTCAACTCCCAGAATTCCCCAGCCAGC